GCGGGGATATGCGCTATACAAATGCTATCTATTATTATTATTATTATTAGCTGTTGCTGCTGCTTCAGGAACATAAGTAGGACAACAAAAACAACTACCCTATTATCTATTTTGAACTCATGGTTTTGATCACTCGATTGTGAATGTGTACAATTTATTTGTATTTTTCTTCCAAAATGTATGGCAACAGAATGACAAAGCTTGGAAAGAAGCACACAGCAATTGGAATGATCAGACAGGTTTCAGAAAAGGAAGAAAGATTGACCTTCATTAGGAAATTCATTAGACAGCCATTGTACTCACATAATTAGCAGATCGGTTTGTAGACAGAATTATATGACATATTTTCAGGTCCCTCCGTCGTCATTTGTTTCCTGGCAGCCATTTTGGTCACCCTCGTAAACGCCCTTGTGTATGCAGAGTTCGCCTCCCACGTTCCACAGACAGGGGCTTTGTACATCTATATATACAAGGTAAAGTAACCCAGGTTCATCCTTTTTTTTTTTTTTTCTTTTTCTATCAGGGGTGGTTGGAAGGTACCATAGATAGACTAGTACTAATTAATAAAATTGGATAACTAATGGAAATTTGAGATACTATGGTCTGTTGTCTGACAAATAAGTAGGTTTTACTTTTAATGATCACCATTATTCATAATGTTGGAGGGGTATTGGATTTCATGTCAGTCTACATTGGGGGGAGGGGGGGGGTGTCACCAAACTATGATCTCTCTCAGTTTATCTCTCTCTCTATTGTCTCATTATTGTCAACTGTCTTCAAGCTTATGTAACCTATCTGCGCATCCTTTGACTTCCATCTGAACAGTTAATTGTTAAAGATGAGTGAGAGATATAGCTTCAATTGAATTATTGCATGCAGCTTTACCCAGAGATGCCAATTTTCCAGGTAGTTCCGGAAGTCGGGCTTTCTGAAATTATCGGGATATTGAAATTTAAATATTTTATCTTTTAAAGTTGTCTTGATACAAGAAGAATACAGTATACAATATGATCTGTAATTTTTGAGTCCCCAAGCACATGATTCTATGGGATCCAAAAAGTTCAGAATTTTTTTTCATAGCCAGTTGGCTTGTCTGCTGTTTATCTCAGTTCTTGACCTTCAAGTGTATAGGTTTTTGTTTATCACCATTTTTATAACCAGTGCAAAAATTATATGATTATAACTAAAGCCACCTGGCAACCTGTGGCTCTTGTGATTAATTCATGAATCCTGAAATCTTTGAATAATTACTTTGTTAAAATATGTAGATAGTGCTGAAATTTAAGTTTTATTTTGGGTGATGAAGGTGAATTGGCTGGCTGAACTGAATTCATGACGTCTTTGTTATGCACATAATTCATCAGTAAGTGTGGGTGATGACTGTATTTACATAAATTCTTAACAGGGCCTTGGTATAACAGTAAAGTTTATATCATAAACTGTAACAGTATTGCATCCATTGTACCAGATTCCCCATCATTATGGGCTATGAATTTTCCCTCCTTTAATGATGTAAATTGGTGTGGGGAACAGCAGAAGAGATTCCTCTTGAATTATGTAGTACTTTATGCAAAGTTGCCAGTATTTGTGAGACTCGCTGACGTATGTGTGTAAAATATTTAGGTTGAATTTGTACAAAATATCAGAATGAAATGATAAAAGACATCATGTTTTACTTGAAGAAAATGGAATCTAGATGGGTTCTCCATCTCCATTCGCTGATTGTGAGAAGTTACTCATTTTGTCAGCGCGCCTCACATTTGGCAATTCACCTACATGTCATCTGTCCCTTTAGTTTAACAGTTTTTTGGTTTGTCATTAGGCCTTTACTTTGATGATTTTGATTGTAAAAGCACTATATTGAAGATGAGGATGAAAAAAGTGAAGAAAGAAGGATTATGTTGCAATTAATTTATGGTAGTTAGAAATAAACCTTTGATGTGGCGTCGGTGGCCTAGTGGTTAGGCTCTCGGACTCGCAACCGTAAGGTCGTGGGTTCGAATCCCGTGAAGGGCCCGACGTTGTGTCCTTGGGAAAGGCACTTTACAC